CGGCCTGAAGGTCGGTCCTGCTCGCACCCAGCTATTCCGGATGCAAGCGACAACTATGGAGGAGGCGATTCGAATCGCCCTCCAAGAAGAGTACAGCCACAAGCAGGCTGGTACCCTTCGGGAAGAATAACATCGCCACGATGAGAATGGCGTTCCTCGGGAGGCGGAGCATCGCAGCAATGACGCTGTTGCTCCTGCTGTCACGCAGCCCGTCGATACCGGTGCGTACAGCGAGCCCGAGCCCATGGACTTAAGCTCAGCCGAGAGCTTGGTCCGCTGCTATGGATGCGGCGGACATGGACACTACCAGCGTGTGTGTCCCTCGCTAGTCCTCGGGAAGAAGACGGCCCGTGGGCCCCAAGTCCGGTGGCGCAGGCCACGGCCAGGTGGACGAAGACTCCCCGGCCACCAGTAGAGGCGGTATGCCCTACTGAAAAGCGCTAAGTCTTTGTGATGGGTGTGCAGGTTGTGCACACCACGGGACTTAGCCCAGAGAGACGTGGTTCTCTCAAACCGGTGAAGGGCAGTGATGGGCTGCTGGTAGTACACTCGGTGTACGGGGGTACGGTACCCCTTGAACGTTTGATGAGTTCTGGGGCGTTGATACGCCGCCGGAACGTCGCTTGGCATAGCGACATCCAACTGCACTCTATGTCAGAGTGGCGGTCATGGGCTGGTCCTTGATGGACTAGCCTTTGGTACGGTAGTATCAATGGTCCTCAACGGACCTGAACGTTTCGGCTCGATGAGCTCGCGCACCGCGGTGTCGCTCGCAGTTCTCGCCATGAACAACATGGCTGTGCCGAACATAAGGCACAGCCCGGACTTTGGTGTGGCAAGGCTGAGAAGGGCCTACCAGTCCAGGGCTATGACGGAGCATTGGTGAGTCATGTTCCCACCTCCGTCATGACTGGGGCGTCTGATACAGACCGCCAGGACGCAGAAGCGTCACGGAGCTGTCAACGCGCCGACAGCTCTGCGTACAGCAAGACCATGCTACGCTGCGGCAATGCCACGGGCATGGGTCTTTTGCCCGGCGTGTGGACCTGCTACACCAGCAGCGTCCAACGCCGAAGGTCGTCGCGCCGTACGGGCTTCGACAGTGGTTATGCCTTTAAGCGCTAACCAGGTGGGTAACTTAGGACCACACGGTCGCCCAGACCTTAACTGAAGAGGAAGGCGCTGAATGCGCTTCCTGTGTGGATAACACAGTACCACACGCAGTCGCCCAGACTATAACTGAAGAGGAAGGCATGACCATGCTTCCTGTGTGGATAACACAGTACCACACGCAGTCGCCCAGACTATAACTGAAGAGGAAGGCATGACCATGCTTCCTGTGTGGGTAACACAGTACCACACGCAGTCGCCCAGACTATAACTGAAGAGGAAGGCATTGTCCATGCTTCCTGTGTGGGTAACACAGTGCCACACGAGGTCTCGAGTGCCTCTGATGTCGTCAACGAGACATCACGACGTGGGTAACGAAGTGCCACGTCACGTCAGCCGCCGCAAGTCGGGTCTGAACCTTGTTCAGGCCGACGTCGCTTCAAGCGACTCGGAGTCCAGGGCCCGGACTCCTCTGACTCGGTCGGTGGACACCAACTCTGTCCGGTGTGTGGGCGTGTCTGCCACACCAGCCGATCCCAACACCGAAGGTCGTCGCGCCGTATGCGCTTCGACAGTGGTGGTGCCTAAGGGCATTCACCAGGTGGGTAACATAGGTCCACACTGCGGGTAACAAGTTCCGCAAGCAGTGAAGCTGCTTAAGGAGACCGACATTCGGTGCTCCGAGCGTGGGTAACAAAGTTCCACGCAAGGTCACTCAGACCATAACTGATAAGGAAGTCGCTGTATGCGCTTCCGGTGTGGGTAACAGAGTTCCACACCCACGGCGAGTAACATAGCGCCGCACACAGAGCCATTGGCTCGAGGCGCGAGGTTGTCTTGGCCTCGCCAGACATGAGCAACTCGCTCGACGTCAAGTCGCGCAGACTCAAACTGCTGACGCGAAGGCTGAATGCCTTCAGTCGACACGGCCGACGCGGTCGGCCATACCGACGCAGTGCACATGGCGGAGAGCCGTTGCGCCTGCCAGTGGCTATTAGAAGCCACGAGAGACTCAGTAGTCTCGAGGTTAAGTGGGGGAGAGGCTCGGAAATACCTTTCCTCCCTGACTTTCCAAGAGGCAGGTAGCCGTCGTGCTGCCAGTGGCTATCACAAGCCACGAGAGACTCAATAGTCTCGAGTGTAAGTGGGGGAGAGGCTCGGAAATACCTTTCCTCCCTGGTCTTGAGGTAAGACCAAGATCCTTACGGAACCAGGCGTCGATGTACATCGACTGCAGGCTGGAGGCGAACAGCCGGGCTAGAGCTGCGGTAGCTCTAGCCGAACAAGACATAGTGGCGAAGAAAGCCACGGGCGCAAGGTGCCTCGGAATCGCTGAGCGAATCAGCAGTGTTGGGGTTGCAAGCAAGCACACACGAGGCGAAGCGCGGGCCTAGTGTAAGTCCCTTGGTCATGAACGACCTGTCGAGTAGGGTGAACGGAACGTCTCACCCGCCGACAAAGCGGTTGCGGTACGTGATGTACGCAACGCGCCGGGTATAATGGGCCGTGGAGCCATAACCCAAGTGTGGTGCACGAGTGCACACACAACTGACCAGGTGGTGGTCGAGGCAAGGCACGCAGTCGTAACTGGTGCCGCGCCGAGCATGAAACCGTGGCGACGGCAGCTTGCCTCACCATGGGTTGGTACCCGTGAGTACTCGGTGTCAATGCCAGACACCAACGCCGCAGTGGCATGGTGGTGAGATATGCCCCACCACGGTCGAGTACCATCAAGGTACATGGTGTCTGTGACAGACACTGGTATAGGTGCAAAGAATATGCACCATACCACGACCCGATGCGCTCTGGACGCTGTGAGTCAACGCACGTACCGTGCATCGGCACTGGCTGCTGTCGAGCAACCTGCCAGGAGTTCCACGTAATGAACTCGTCGTGCATGACACACATGAAGTGCACGGAGCACTTATGGTAGCTGTGGTACGTATCGTACACAGCGTGCCTCGTGTACGGTCCCATGGACCTATACACTGTGCTTGCACATGCGTCGTGCATGATGCGAGCACTGGCCATGAATCTGTTCAGGCGACAGCACAGCAGAAGCTGTTGCCGCCAAACATGGCAACCTTGTGGTGGGCGTACCGCACCAAAGGTTAGTACCGTACGGTACATGGTGTCGATGGGAGACACCTACACCACGGTTGTGTACCGTCACGGTACACGGTGTCGATGAAGGACACCTTCGCGCCGTTGGTATGGTGACCAAGACGCGAAGAGAGCGTGGCAAAAGCTCCGCCCGCAAGGATGAATCCTTGCTGGAGCCAAAGGCATGGCCCGAGGTGAGCTGAGAGCTCCCTCTAGTGCTGGGGAAGGTGTTGCCCTTCTCGGTGTCGTCCCTCGCGGGAGACACCATGCTCCGGACGCGTTTGCGAGGACTGTCGTGTCCTCTGGTGCGAACTGTGGGCGAATGTCACACGTTCGGATGCTATTGCACCCTGTGCCAAAGCACTGTGCGCGCGCTAGCGCAGCAGCTAATGCAGCTCTGAGCGTAGGCTTTGCAGCCAACACAGTTGTGAGCATAGGGATGCAAATCTCAGTGAGCTTTGGCAGCACAAGTCACTGTGGGTGTGACTGAGAGCCGCGCCAGTCTCGTGGCTGCTCAGTGTGAGAATTCACCTTTTGGTGTTTTAATTCTCTCACTTCTGATTGGAGAATCAGTTGTGATTGGAGAATCAGGTGATTCTCAGTTAAGTGCGGGAGGATGTAACGGGGTACAATCCAGTGTGCCCCATGTTACATAAAGAGTGACCCGTCACTCTTGTGGACACCTGGTACACGGTACCAGGTGCTCTCGGAGCCAGTCAGTGCATGACTACTTAGCTCCACTATAGGTAACCTCTAGTTTGTATGAGACCCAAGCTTATCTTACTTATAAATACATCAGTCTTAAATCTACTCCTCTAAGTAGCAAACCGTTCCCACTGAGGCCGGGAACACGTGGACTTACGTTCACTCGGGTAGTTAATACCCTTATGCACTTCCTCTGTGCAAGGTGCTGTGTGACCCCGTCACAAGCCTCCTCCTTCTCCTCCCTCTTCTCCTCCTCGCGCTTTCTCTTCTTGGGTGTCGCAGCAGACATCGTAGCGATAGAAGGAGGTGAGCTTTAATGGAGCGCGGCGAACCGGGGGGGGGGTGGGGCGAATGAAGCCAGCCGCTCGATTTTTTAAAAATCTGAATTTTAGGACTGAACCGCTAATACCGAAGCCGTCGGTATCCCAGTTTGTAGTTTTCCTGCCTTTTTCTACCCAATAGTTGGTGAACGTAGGCACTTCCAAACTTTAATAAATTGACTTGAGCTCTTGATACACCTGTTATTTAAGATCTACATTGAATTGTCATTCCCAAAATAGTGAATTATACGGGCCAACCTCAATTTCAGAGTAGGTCATCTCGTTCATAGTGAAACCTAGCGATTGGGCTGTGAAAAACGACAAGAACGTTTAAGGAAGGGTGAATGTCAAGTGTTCCTCGTCGGCTGGTTGTTCGCATTATTTGTGGAAAGAACTAGCTGACGAGACACGGACGTCTTTCCAAGAGTCTTAGACTAACCTTGAGCCATTCATCTCATCAGACTTGAGCCAAACCTCGTGGTTCTCATCTTGACTTACAGCTAGCAAGCATGCCAAAATAATGAACGCTACTCAAAGGTGAGGAAGCCAAGCGGTTCGCTGACCCATAAATACAAAAAATATCGCTTATATATTAAATAACTATTTACGGGAATGAAACTCATCACGTTGAACTGCAAGGCTTCGCTTGTCGCATCGACAAAGAGGAATTACTAGTATATTTACTTGTTTGTAGCAGTACTTGATTGATCCCCGCCGTTGGGGTCCATATTTTCATATTCTTCTGAGGACAGTAATCGGTTGAGATACTCGAGGTCTTGAGGGTCCAAGTCGTCGTACCACGCGACGTTGGGGAGGAAGGACGAATCCTGCGTCGATCTCGGGCTTTCGGTTGCGTCTTCTGTGTGTCTTTGGGTCATCTCTCTGCGCTTTTGGTCGACACGGCGTTGATTCACGTTTGCCTTCATTCGATGGTAGTCGCAGAATCGATGCAGCTTTTTATTCCGTTTGAGCGATCGAGGAAATTCACACCGTTTGCTTCTGTATCCACTCGCGCTTCTTTATTCGACGCTGTAGGTACGAAGATTGGACTTGAAGACATATTGAAGAATCAAGTTGAAAAGTGAGCAAGTTCAAACCACTGAAAAACGCATAGAGAACATCATTCATTCTAGCCACGTGTCGTGATTTTGTACGGTACTGACGTGTCTTGAGATACATCAGGGCCTTAGCCGCTGGGTACAAAGCTGCGTCCGTGTACTTCAAACGGATAAGTCCGTCTTCAAGCTATTGTTAGTATATTCTTGACCTTTTCTAGTCAACGGTGGCCAGTTCGTTGCCTCATTATTGATGGAAACCTCCAAGTCCTCGCCCCGAAGAACTCGTCGATCAGATGGGCCTATTGCTACTCCTCTGGAATGTTTTCGACAAGGGAAAGATAGCGAATCCATGAGGAACGCTCTCGCTGAGCTGGCCATGAGACTTGTGGATGCCGACGACCGCGAGGATTTTCGAAAAGCCGATGGTGTCACTGCTATCGGTAGATAACTTCTGTATCCATTACTGAAACGAATCAACTTGTAATCACAGAAATCGTGTGCAGTGGATCATTTAGCACGCATTCTGGAAGAACAAGCAACGCTCAGCTACGCATGGAGCACGTCTGAGGCCTTCGGAACAGCGTACGTTTCTGGTTTGAGTGGATTCTGATGAGAAAAAGATTCACGATGGTTGGAGATGCTCGCTCTATGTAGGTGGGAGGAATACGAAGTACACGACTCGCTTCAGCTTACGCGTACGATGTCTACGTCATTGAATGCTCATCCTTTTTAATCTAATACTGGCGAGTAGTGGTCGCTATTTGTCACGCCAGCATCGATTCGGATATCTCAGCGGAGATGCACGAACTTGGAACACTTGAAATTCTATACCGGACTCTGAGTGTTATTCCAGAGCAACTCAGCGACTACGTGCCGTTTGTTCTCGAAGGTTTGCGAAATCTCTGCGCTTCAGACTGCGGATATAGAGATCTACCAACCGAACTGGTCCAGCGTATGTGGCAGATTCTTTTTTCGGAAAACAAAGTACGTTGACTTGAAACTCCATAACTTCACACTTACTAAACGTTGTCTAGTTTTCTTTATTATGGCAGGAACTCGCAGCTGAATTTCTCACCAACATCGCAGCAGCCGAGTCAAGTCGTTCGGCGGCTACACCCGAGAGGCTGTCAGCAACTTTATCGCTGTTTTTACGAGCTGGTACAGATCCACATACTGCGACTTTGGGTATTGCATTGTCCGATCTGCTGTGTAATTTGTGCTGCGATCAAGCGTGCAGTCTACTACTGATATGCGAGCTGGACACTCGTCGCCCGCGAGGTCATTTACGTCACAGTGGTGTCGTGTACCTTGCCGAACTCACTGACAAATCTCAAGATGGCGCACTCAAACAGAGCATGGAGGCACTCGTTCACAATCTCTCGTGGAGCGATCCCGCAGGTAAACGCAGCATCCAAAAACTCGCCTTATCCAGCTTCATGCATAGGTTCGCAGTAGAGCCAACAATAAACAGTTATGTAAAAATAGGGACGTGAATACTGCGACCATCTTATCTTGTCATACTCATCCTGGCAGCTTACAAACTAGCTTGTGAAATGCTGACAACAGCAGCGTCGTTCCCTGTCCGGAATGGAAAAGGTTATGGAGCGCAGCGGGAGTTCTATCGTGACCGTATCGGGTCCGTTCACGGCATCGCCAGTCCCAACATCCACGCCAGTGTCCGTGCTGCAGCTATCGCAGCACGTCGAGTACGGCAGTTCCGTCAAAAGCATGCTCCTACGCTCCATACAGTTCTAGATGTAGACAATGAAACTCAGATCCGAGAAGCCAGCCCCGTGCAGGAGCAAACCGGAAACCCAGTCAAACGCAAGATGAAGCTGCATTTATCTCTCGATAAACTAGAGAAACCCGAGCTACCTATGATGATTCTGCACGAAGAACCTATAACCTTTGATGACCCTCCGTTAGTGGTCTCAAACGGATCGGATTTTGGGCAAGCGCAGCCTTCTGGTCGTTCTCGTCGCGCCTCGAGCATCACACTCAGTATGAATTCTCCTGAAGCTGCGGAGTTTAACGAAGTGGCTCACGACGGACCTGAAGAATTAGGGAAACGTACGAAACGCGTCAAGAAGCTGGGCAAAGGAGCAGGTGGCACGGTCTTCCTTTCCCTCTACTTACCAACGTTGAAGCTGGTCGCTGTAAAAGAAGTGGTGGTCTACCAGGAAGAAGACCGTCACATGGTCAAACGCGAACTCCACACACTTCACGACAACCTCGCAGCTATCGACGTTAATGTCCCGAAGACGGGCCATTCCGATGCGCTGAAACACCACTTTCTCGCAGGATTGCGTCCTCGCAGTGTGCTGTGTCCATATCTAGTCACGTTTTACGGGGCATTTCTGAAACCAGCTAAATGTGCCGTCTCGGTCGTCATGGAATTCATGGATATGGGCAGTGTACAGGACCTTATGGATGCAAATGTCACCGTATCGGAAGAAGTTCTACGACACGCTGCGTTCTGCTGCATCACAGCACTGGATCACATGCACTGTCAAAGGTTTGGAAGTCACAAAACTAGCATTAGAAACATTCTAAATTTGATTTCCTTTCAGAACGGTTCATCGAGATATCAAACCCGCGAACATCCTGATGAATCATAACGGGGAATTCAAGGTACAAAGCTTCACGTGGTCATAATATGGCTTAAGTTTGACAAAATTGTTGCTTTCCAGGTCGCTGACTTCGGTCTAGCAGGCACTTTGGCTAAATCCAACTCGTTCTTCTCAGACTTCTCCGGAACGATGATGTACATGGCTCCTGAGCGTATATCTGGCGCTCACTACACTTTTGTCAGCGATGTCTGGTCTTTAGGCATCACGCTGCTCTCTCTTGCAACTGGAGGCTACCCGTTCACTGTGGACGACGGGTTTTTCGGTCTAGAAGAGGCGATTTGCCACGACTCGCTGCCTCCGATGCCCAATCGGTTCTCTCCAGTGTGTCGAGACTTCATCAAGCGGATGTTAAACCGTGATTGTGAACGTCGAGTAACCTCCGAAGAAGCTCTTACTCATCCGTTTATCAGTGGATACGCGAACACTGCTGCGTTCCGAAATTTCCCGAAAACGTGGCAAAATTTGGGGTTGAAGCGCGCAATTGACGCTGAAGATACTCGAGCAATCGTCAATCTAGCAGTCGAGTATTCGTATCGATACCCGGACATGGTGACACTTCCCCCGAAGGTCACAGGGCTCGAACCTGCGGCAGAAATCCCGACTACGCAAGACAAAAACGCGTTTTTCCACCGCTTTGCGAAACATTTGAACACAAAACCCGAAATTTCGAATTCATTCGAGCGCCTTGCAGAGACCTGTAGTGTATCTATCGAGTATCTTCAGGAATTATTTCACGAGGTACGTAAGTTTTCTAGGTTGAAAATTTACAATACAAACATCTCACAATTGTCGTGTAGGCTCTGAACTAGCGAAGTGTGTGGAACTTGGCAGCTGTAGCTCGCTGTTTGGCCAGCTGCAGCTCCATCTTGGACACAGCTGACTTGGTTGCGAATTTAAGCTTCCCTACTACGTTTCGTTCCCTTAATTCCAATAATTGCTGGTTGATTTGATCCAAAATTGTTAGTTCTCGACTTGTCTTAGTCTCCACCAGACTCTCCAGCTCTGGATTATTGCGTACGGGAAGATGGAAGCGTCTCGCACAGCCTGAACTGCCGTATCGTCCTTCTTCCGTCTCATCGCAGCATAGCCAACGCTTGGCTCGGTGCATCATACAAGACGCAGGGACAGCAGCAGACGCGCTCTGTCGGGTCGCACAGGATCGTGCACAGGCGAACTCGTACGCTCCAGTGTGGTAGACACAAGAGAAGCAACTATTCTGCTCCTCCGAGTACTTCTGACGACACAGTCGACACTGCAGAATTCGTTTCTGGTGGTCGTGCATGATCGAGAGTTTGGTCGGAATGTTCACAGCTTTAATCGCACGCAGCAGACTCTGCTTCCTCAGTATCGGAGAGCTCGTCGTGGCTGCGAGTTTCTGCTTCTGGAGCAGAATTTCATGTTTGAGCTTGAACGACGCACGTACTCGTGTACGTTCGGACCAAATTTTAGTCCATCGCTGGAACATTTCCTGCAGTAGTCGACGTTGAGAGCGACCGAACATCAATCGACCCAATTCCGCTCGTCGAAGACGCATACGCATCGCTCGTCGTCTCTTCCTCTGCAGTACACTCACCTCTTTGCTTTTCACGACCCGTTCCTGTTCTAATTCTCGAATTCGCGTCTCGAGACGCCCAATTTCTCGCTCACTGCACTCCACCAGCGCTCGTCGAATGAGCGAATCCGTCAGCATCGCGAAGTATTGAGACTGCAAGCGATCACGTAAATATTCGGTACGGAAGCGTTGGACCCGACCGTGGAGAACTTCCGAGTCGATCGTAGCGTTGAGTTGGTGTACGCGTTCGTACCTAATTCTGGCGCGTTCCTTGTAATGAATCGTCTCGGCAAGACGCGAATCTGCGTCTTGGATCCGCTTTTTACACTTGCCAGCGTATTCTCGCTTGGCCCGTGCGTCGTTGACGACATGTTCCTTTTCTTCGTTGATTCGCTTGAGGTCAGGCTCCATGCGCGTTAAATTCTCTTCTAGAAGCGACGCTCGTTGTTGCCAGAAGGTAGCGCGTTCTATGGCGTCCATCCACTCCACTTCAGCACGAGAGAGCGCGTAAAACGTCTCGACACTCGCGATCATGCGTTCCTGCGTCATTTTCAGCTTAAACTCTCGTTGTTTCTGCGCCGCAACTTGCTGAGCTTCCCGAAGTCGATCCGCCAGTCCGCTGGCCTCCATTTCAGCCGAAATTTTACCTTGAGCCATCTGATCCACGAGATATTTGTCGAATTGTCGCTCCAACGCTGCAGCTAGAGCTTGTGCGCGTTCGCTCTCTCGGATCTGCATCGCTAATTCGTCTTCGCTCTTCAGCTGCCTCCACTCTCGATGGAGACGATGCTGCTCGTTCTTGCCCTGTTTGATCTCCAGTCTGCGAGCTGCTTTGTCGTTGAATCGAGTCCGGTCTTCGACCATTTTCGCGTATTTCGTCTTCATGACTTCCAGCTCCACTAGACGGAGATATTCCCTCATCTCCAGCTCCGCATTGGCCATCGCTTTCCTCTCCTGTACATACAGCACTATTTCCTCCACGTAAAACGTACGACACCGACGTTCTTCCGCTAGCATCGCCCTGCGTCGAGTCTCCAGTCGAAGCCGCTCTTCTTCAGCAAGACGACGGAGCTCTTGACGTCTCGCCATCTCTTCTCGAACTAACTGTAACTTTGCGTGTTCTTGTCTCCACGTGGAGTAGAGTAGAGAATTTTTCTGTTTGCGAGCGATCCACAGACGGTTGAAGCCTAGAAGCTGGCACACTGAGCTACTTAGAGCGAGGTTCTGATGTGCTGCTACGACGGCACTTCCCTTGACACGTAGCAGCTCTGTAGCTTCGTGTCTGCTTTGCTGGATGTGCTCTCTGCCAAGATCCTGGATGGTATCTGTTAATATCCCTCTATACACTTCTTGGGCGAGAGATTCCACACTGATAACGTCACGCTCTTGCTTGCTGTGCTCTCGTAGTTGTCGCTCTTTGGCTAGTAATCGCTGCTCGATCATAGCCATCGCTAAGCGTTTCTCACTAGCTCGAGCGACTCGCTTAGCGTCCAGACGACTGGGACGTTGGGAGAGTGGTTTACGGACTCGAGAGGCATAGAATCGACCGCGTTTCTGAAGCCTCCTCGCCTCGTTTCGAGCCGATTCTAGCGTTTCCTTGCGTCCGTGCATCTCGTACTCCAACTGCGACTCCAACTCGACTTGACAGATCGCATTCGTCAGTGATTCCTCTTGCGTCTCTTTCTTCTTCCTATCGGGACTACATCTAGGATTTGGAGGTTGATCCGAACCACAAATTGAAGCGATGGCAGCCCTGGATGGGAACGTCGATGTTAAGGAGAGGAACACGGTGACAGTGCAGAGACTCTCTATGGATGGTGTCATAGCAATGGTTTCTTCTTCTCTGTAGATGGCTTCATAGGCTAAAACCTCATTGATAGGGAGGAATATCGTGGCTTCCCAATGCAGCGGCGTCACCACAACACAACTGTCTTGTGTGCGATAGAACTCGACTCTAACGAATCCGTATCTGGTCCGTAGAGTCGAGTTCTGCGTCTGACAGTACAAACGATTCACTAACTCATTCACTTTGTCTCGTTGAGTCTCAGCCTTGTCCAGTCGAGTCTGTGCTGGACCCAAATGTTCCCTAACAAACTCAAGCTCGCTTTGGAGTCGTTGATACACCGCATTCATCTCCTCGCTGCTTCTAATTAGAGCGGGGGCATGGGACTCAGAGAACTCGGCTTCTTCCTCCACCCCTTCGTTAGCATAATACGCGGACTCTCGCTCTTTCTGAGCAGCTTTTAGTCTCTTGGTCGCGTCATCCAAGCTTGTCACAGCTGCTTTGTCTTCTGCGATTAAAGCTTCGGCTCGAGCGTGATCAGCTTCGATCAGTGGCAATTTATTGAGGACAATCTCATTTTCATGTTGGGCATCTGCCAGGAAATTTCGCTTTAAAAAATAACATTAGAAATTTGCGCCATTAGATGAAATTCTCACGTACTCTACCTGTAGCGTGAGACGATCTGTGCATTGAGCGTGTTGATGGAAGATTTGCTGAATGCGAAAGTTGAAATTTCGCAATCGTCCATGGAACAAAATTTCATCTTGATGAGACGCTCGGTGAATATCCTGAATCAGTCGAGGGTACAACGGAGCTGCACTGTCGACGTTGTCCAGTAGAGTCCCGCGGTTGATGCCGTGTCGGTAGTTAAAGTCGTCGATGGATTTTGGATCCAGTCGGTCGTATAGAATCGACTCGACTTGTTCTATTGCTCGCGCTTCTTTCTCTAGTCGAAGACGCTCCTTCTCAACTCTCTGGAGATGATCTGCGTCTCGGAATCGGAACGCCACGCCGCTTGTGGTCTGTGCTCGATGTTTTAAAACATATTCATCCAATTCCGCATCTCCACCTCGAGCGTGGTCTGGATCGTCGTAAGATTTTGACATTTCCTTCCCGCAAATTTTACATTTCAAGCCAAAGTCATATTTCGTGCCCCACGCTTTCAACTCAAGATGTTCACATTGAAATTTCTGCTCGACAGCAAGTTGAAAATTCGGGATACGGAGTAATTCCTCCTTCGCGCGCTTCTCCTGATCGTTCTTCAACGCAGCCAATTGCAGCTCATTCGACTCGTTGACCTCGTTCAGCAGCTCCTGCTCGTGTCGAATCCTGAACTCGCGCTCCTTTCTCGCCTTAATTCTCTTGTTGCTGACTCGTTTCGTCTTTCTTTCCCACGTTTTCTTAACTAACGCCAATTTTCCTTGTACGAATTGTTTGGCAAAATTCTCTTTAACTTCCTGGACGACGGGCTCGGTCTCAACTGTGCTGGATTCTTGCACATTTAATGTGCGTTGCACTTGGAAGTCAATTTGAGACGAGATCGTCTCATCATAGGTCGTCAGTCGAATGGCATCAGCGTAAAATAACTTTTCTCTTCGTGAAAGTTCGTTCTGCATCTGCTGGGCCAGTATTTCGTCCTCTTTGGCCTCTCGAATCGCAGCTTCGTTCTCTTCTTGGACGTTTCTCTTCGTCTCTTGTTGCAACTGCTCAATTTTGCAGTCTTTCGCGAATACAAGAACGCGCGCTTCGGCCTCTTCTTTCCGCTTTCGACGAAGCGCTCGGACACATGAACTCGCTAAAAAAACGGCGTTGGCGTTGTCTAACTGCAGCCATTCAGTCTTCATCGTATTATCGGCATCCAAGGGCCCGCAAAGCTGAAATATTTCAGAAGATATGAGCAACAAAAACACTAAGGATAAATACACTTTTTTCTTACTTACCTTGTGCATAACGTGGAGCTTCGTCCGTGCTTCACGCCATTCGTATCTTACGCCCAAGACTAAGGCTTCTTTCCGGTATAATTCCGAGGTGGCGATTGGAGATTTGAAACTGCAGTAATCGCCCATGAATCGCACCACTTGTAGTCTTTTCGGCTCCATCAGCGCAGACTTTCGCGCTTGGAAATCCATTCTAAGTTAAGTATGAAATACGTTAAACTTAATGTTCACTAGCAATAAGGAATAGAACTGCCACGTCCTTACCTCGAGTCTTCTTTTCTCTTCCCCTTTACAGACAACTCAACGATTGGAGTGTCAATTGGTAGCACGTCACTCTCACTAACGCGACCTTGGCGGAGCGCAATGCTGTAGTCGATTTGAACAGCAATCTAGACCAGACAAACGGCCGGAGCGTTAAATTACGGGTTCGAATGTAACGTTAAAATGCACGAAGCAGACGTACCTCCTTCTTGATCTCACCTCGCAGCATCTTCACGTACTCGGCGCGCTTGAACCGCTGGGAATGGCCATGGAACAAGGTAGAGTCCCACGTTTTCGCCCTACTTCTCTCCACTCGAATCAACTCTTCCAGGATCTCCGTTGCCCTCTGACTGCTCGTCTTCTTGGCCTGCATATGCATCGTCTTGACCAATTCCGACACAAAATGTTTTTCTTTCTGGTGAAGACGCACACGGTTTTCTTCTTCTCGAAAATCTTCCAGACGCTCTTCATAGCGTGCTATGTTACTGATAGCGTAGCCACAGTTTAGATCGGTGACTTTTTTGCGGGAGATCTCCAAGCTGAAGCAAAGGCGAGTTCCTGAAAAATCGAAACTCATGTCTCCAGTTCGTAAAATCTGCAATTTTAAGCGTTAAATTGTTAGTTTTTAGCCAAAACAATCGCACGTTATTTCGGAACGTACTTTGCCGCTGATGTCTCGAAACGTATGATGCTGTAGAGAATCCATCTCCGGACCGATGTACAGTTTCCAGTCGTCTGTAACTTTGTCGGAATCTTGTAACATTTCTTGAGAATACTCAAGTTCGCCATTTATCCTCTGGATGCTGACGTTCATGTCGATTCTATAGAAGCAGCGCTTCGGCAGATGCACACATCCCGTGATCTTCCCTGTCGTCTCTTCTTCAGCTAGCGTTATAGTATTGTGTTCCATGGAGTACGTTAAGCCCATGGATTTCTTGGGTATTTTGTGGCTCCACCAGTCAATAGAGCCTTTCAACGGGAAGATACACTGACGCAGTTTGCTGCCGTCTTGCTAAGCGCATTGAGTGACATGAGTGCAGTTATAACGCCCGTTACTGTAGTGTATCGTACTTACATGATACTTCTGGATTGCATGGACGATATCGCTGCGTAGTGCCGAGTTTTGGAGGTCCACAAAGCGGTCTCGGATCTTGACGAGCCGAACTTTCGCACTGTCCAGATCTTGCTCCGCCAACGCTCGGAACTCGCTCACTTTCCAGGCTTCAACAGCTTGCGTTTTGGCCTTTTTGTAGTGTTCGTTCACAGGTGTTACGGCGCTCTTTAAGATCTCAAACTTGCTTTCCATCGTGACTTGATTCGTCATTTTTGTAGGGTCTACAAAAACTTTAGAAACTTCAAGTTCGGCATCTTTTACAGCGTAATTCTGCATTTGTTCAGACTGGAAAATGGCATTACCCATCACCACTGGAAGATCGCGTCGTTTATTCTCGATACAATCGACTTGTGCTTGGATTTCACTGCATTTTGCCTTGGCTTCCCGTAACATTGGCAGGAATGACGCCTCTGATCGCTGGATAATTGCCGTTCGCTTGTAAATTTGAGCGATACGAGAGTCCAGATCCCCAAGCTGCTTCATGTAGCCAGCTCTGCGTGTCAGTAGAGTGTGAATTCGCTGCTTCTCGTGCTCCAACGGGTCTCGTCGTGGCGGACCTGCAAGTTCTTCGTTCAGATCGTCCTGCTCCGTTCGCACCTGCTTCATCTCCTGAAGTAAATGGTCTTTTCTTTCCAGAATAGTTCTCATATCGAGTCCCAGATTGCTCTTCGCCTGCTCCACTTGCTCTAATTTCTTACGTAACATTGTAACTTTCGACTGCATCTCCATCAGTTGCAGTCGCCTCTGCTCGTTCTCGATACTAACCCCCCGTGTGGTGGATATGCCAACTGTGTATTCGTCTGGAATTAAAACCAAATATCAGCGCGTTAAAACACGTTAGTAAAAGCAATTTAACGCACCGAGTCCCGTCCGATGTCCTCCTTCGGTCGCAGAGTAATATTCTCCCGGCTCAAACGCTGTGTCAAAGACTCCAATAGAAGACGTCGTCTGTCGCCGCCCTAACGCTCGCATCGCATCGCCACTCTCTTCTTCTTCGACCATACACATCTCTTCCTTCATAATTTCCACTTTGTTGTTAAATTCCTCGTTTTGTTCCTGTCCGAGCTTCTGCTTTCCAGCAAATTCACGCGCTTCTTCGAATTGTTTCTGCCAAAATTTCAGATTCCCTTGTCGTCGGAAGAGCAATATTTTTTCCGCTTTTTCTTTCTTCTCCTCGAGTTGCTGTTGCTTCTCCTGCATAATTTTATCGACGCGTTCTTTTCTACGTTGCTCGATCTCCTCCATACGCTGCACTTGTTGCACTCTATCTGCCTCGGTTTTTAGCTCTTGGAAGCGATTAAGAAGAGGAGCTTGTCGTTTATTCCGCTTCTTTAGTCCAAAACGAAGCTCTTCTTCTGTCTGTTTGGCATCGTTAAACTGCTCTACAACTCGTTGTCGGATTGAAGAGTACTTTTGCGTCTCTGCGTCCATTTCGAGCACGTGAGCGACATGTTGACGCAGCAGTCGACGATCTCGAAGAGGAGGCAGCTCTGCGTATTTCTTGGCCGTCTCGAGCGCCTTCTTACCCTCCACGAGTGCAGTGCTCTTAAACTGTCGAGCGGCGTCTTTGGCGTGGTCTACTAATGGTCCGAGCATCTGATAACCTTTCATGAGCTCTTGTTTATCCTCCAGGTCCTCGTCGTCTTCTGCGTCACCGTCATCTTCTTCATCCCAGAGCTCTAAACACAAATTAAAAAATAATTTAGATGATGACGAGAGTCACGTTTGAATGTTTAGATAACTGTACGAACTGGTCATTTTCTCCATAGTGAAGTCCTGAACGGCGTGGCCACGAGATACCCATTCTCCTAGAGCTTCTTCTCGTAAATCTTCTTCTTCTTCGAGCTTGGCCTTGGCCATGATTACTGTATAACCAACAAGGGGTGAAGGGTTACAGCGACCTTTGACGATTGTATTATTAGTCCTTTTAATTAAAACAAGTAATATTAAAATGAAAGCTACTACTAGCAGGGATGCCGAATACGGCATTTTACTTAATCAACGAGGGAACAAGAAAATAAGTTATGGTACTGCAGTACGAATGGAGGTAACATCAATTATTTGCATTGAGAAAAATTGAAAATGAATTATGGCCCTGTTAAAACTGCATGCTAAATCGACAGAGCTCGAGAGTAGAACCAGATCGCACTGTCAACAGTGCGGACGTCCCAGTACGTCGTGTTTACACGTAGAAAGAGAATCATCTCTAATGTGTACGGGTTCAAACGATGTCGCTCGTGGCCGAACGTGATCCGAGCAAGGCTGGATGTAACGGGGTACGTAGCCCTAAGTGTACCCTGGTTACATGAAGTGTGACACTTCACACTTCAGGAGTATGACACGTCATACTCCGGGATATTTGGTACAAGGTACCAAGGTCGTTCAAAGCCAACCATTGGTTAAATGACATTGCACTTCTATAGGTAGCTCATAGTTTGTATTAAACCCAAACTTAACCTACCTATAAATATACTCAGTTTACAATCTACCTTATTTAGGTCACTTCGCTCTCTTTAATTAAAGAGGGGACCTGTGAACTGCCGTTCACTGAGAGTTTGTATACTCTCGGAAGGTAACTTCCTCTAGCGCAAGGTGCTGTGTGACCCCGTCACACTTGGTAGCACTTGTAGTCAATCCACGCCACCGCGGGTAGACTACCTGAACCTCTCTGAAGCTCGTTGCCATGGATAGGAGCGACTTTTCCCATATGAACGACTCTCAGTTCGAGTCGGTTCGGAAGATGGCAGGCATCTTCGGGATGGAGGCCCTGCAGAGCCTGGTGGTATCAACACCGGCTAAGCAGCTCGAGCGCGTCAATGCATTCGACGCGTACGAGCAGGGCCTCATCGCGCATGTGCGGGAGAGCCTGCAGGCTCCGGCGGCGGAAGCAAATCCGCCTCACCCGAAGCCAATACGGCTGAAGGTAAAGCCGTATGAAGGGAAGGAAGGCGAGAACCTTCACTTCTGCACCCGAGAAGTAGAGCTCGCGATGGACGCGGCTCTGATCTCGACCGAGCAACTGCGTGTTGCTTTTGCACTCTCCAACCTTAGCGGTCGTGCTAAGAGTTGGGTGTACACTCCGGAAGCAACATCCCCTGAATGTTTTACATCCTGGGCTCAGCTGTGCGAACAGCTCCGAGCCGCGTTCCTCCCGGCGAACTACGAGTACCGCCAGCGTTCGCGCTTCCTCGCGTGTAAACAAGGAAGGCGCGAACTGCACGAGTATGTGCAAGAGATAGGGAGCTCACGGCGTTTCTAGTGGGAAATCCACTCAACGAACACATCAAGATGACTGTGTTCATGGACGGCCTTCGAGTGGGCCCCGCACGCACTCAGCTGTTCCGGGTGCAGTCAAGCACCCTTGAAGAGGCGATTCAAGTGGCTCTTCAAGAAGAGTACAGCCATCGCCAGGCGCGTACGCCGGCCTCAGCGTGGCCTGGGAGTTCCTTGTCGGCTCCCGGTCGAACAAGCCCCAACGGACCAGTTCCCATGGAACTTGGGTCCGCCGAACAGCGTGACATCCGCTGCTCGGCTGTGAGGAAGATGAGCCACTTCAAGCGCGACTGCCCCGCGGAAAGACTCCGCAGACGAGTCCTTTCCCCAAGCCCGTCCTCAAGAGGTCGCTGAGCAAAAGCCAGGATCCCGAGGACAGGGGAACGCAGGGAGCCAGTAGGGGCGGGGCACCCTACTGAGGAAGAACTAAGTCTTCGTGAAGGGTGCGCGGGTGGCGCGTACCACGGGGACTTAGCCCCTGAGAGTCTTCGCACTCTCGAATCGGCGAAGAGCAGCGGCGGGTTGCTCGTAGTACACGGATGTGTACGGGGATACGATCATCCCTTTAGAATCTTGATTGACTCTGGGGCGTCGAAGAATTTCGCACGCCGCCAGACGGTTGCTGGTAACAGCAACAAGCTGTCCGATGCTTTGAGAGAAAGCAAGGGCAACGGGACGGTGTCAGTGCGACTGGCCGACGGGAAGGTCGTCACTGTTCCCAACGTCCAAGTGGATCTGGCTGTCAAGTTTGAAGACTTTGACAGCCTCGAACAGTTCACTGTTCTCGATATGGATCCATATGATATGATCCTGGGCATGCCCTGGCTTGAGAAGCACGAGCCCTGGATCGACTGGCGAGGCAAGGCAATCGGTGCCAGTCGTCCTGCGCAGTCCGACAGAGCATTGGTGAGTCATGTTCCCACCTCTGTCAGGACCCGGGGCGCCCGCGAGGGCTGTCAGGGTACCAAAGCATCCGGCAGATGCTTGGGAGTCGTCGACGTATATGACGACTCCGGGGATGTTTTGATGGTGGCCGCGCCCAGAAGAGGCGCTGGCCAAGTGGGTAACTTAGGTCCACAGGCGGGTAACTTAGTTCCGCAGACAGCTGCAGCTGTCATGAACACTGAGAACAGCGTGTTCAGAGTGGGTAACAGAGTTCCACTCACGGTAGCCCAGACCATAACTGAAGAGGAAGACGTCGGATACGCTTCCTGTGTGGGTAACACAGTGCCACACGCGGTCGCCCAGACCTTAACTGAAGAGGAAGGCGTTGAACACGCTTCCTGTGTGGGTAACACAGTGCCACACGCGGTCGCCCAGACCTTAACTGAAGAGAAAGGCGTTGAACACGCTTCCTGTGTGGGTACAACAGTGCCACACGAGGCCACGAGTGCCTCGGATGTCGTAGCGACGACATCCCTAGACGTGGGCAGCAAAGCTCCCCGTCACAGACGCCGCCGCCGCCTCAAGTCGGATCCGAACTTCGTTCCAATCGACGTCGCTTCAAGCGACTCGGAGTCCAGGGCCCGGGCTCCTCCGACAAGGCCGGTGGAAGAGTGTTATCACTTCTTCGATGGCGAGACAGGTTTACCCGTCAGGGCATCTGGTGTCCACTTGGAACCGTTGCCAGAGGTTGCGGAGATACTGCACCTCGAGGAAATGACGGCTGAGTCTTTCCTGACCAACCTCAAGGCTGGCGAAATTGCTGAGATGGTACTCATGAGACCTGAGACCACTCAGGAGGAGCTGAACTCCTCCTCTGTCTTGGACGAGAACGTCCTGGAAGACATGGACAAGCAGCGTCAGGCGCGCTTGGATTCTGAAATTCTCAAGGATCCGGTGTATCCTTTGGTGACGGAGTATGCGGACGTGGTGAACAAACACCCACCGACCCAACTCCCACCGGATCGAGGCGTACGGCACGAGATTGATCTCGTGCCCGGCACAAAGTATTGTGTCACGAGGCAATGGCCTCTCCCGCGCGAACAATGCGAGGTCATTGATGCCTTCTTCGCCGCGAAAGAGAAGGCAGGCATGGTGCGGGAGTCGAAATCCCCGCACTCGACGCCGACTTTCTGCGTTCGTAAGCCGAACGGAAAGTGGCGTCTGGTTCACGCTTATAACAAGCTGAACAACGCAACGGTGCCGGCCCCAACACCAATCCCACGAAAGGATGTGTTGTTGAACAACATGGCCGGGAGCGTACTGTACAGTGCGCTGGATTTGGTAGACGGATACTACCAAATCCTGATGCGAGAGAGTGACATCCCGCTCACCGCGGTAAGCACTCCAAGCGGCATGCATTGGGAGTGGCTCGTCATGCCGCAGGGCTTGTCTAACGCCCCGGCGACGTTCAATCGCCTGGTGACGCAATTGTTCCGCCCTTTGCGTACCTTCGTACAGACGTACTTCGACGACATTTTCGTCCATAGCCGTGCCGAGGGAGGCAAGACGGCCATGGAGGTGCATCTAGGACACCTCCGTCGAGTGTTGGACGTGATGCGAGCGAACAAGCTCCACGCCAACATCGACAAGTGCGTTTTCGCGTCACCAGAGATCAAAGCTCTCGGTTGCTTCGTAAGCAACGTGGGCGTTCGAGCTGACCCAGACAAGGTCAAGGCCATAGCAGCATGGCCGACGCCCCGATCCCCGAAGGATCTTCGAAAGTGGTTGGGCTTGGCCAACTACCTTCACAAGTACAGCGCTGGGTACGCGGGCTTCGCTAAGCCCTTGTCGAGTCTCCTTCAGAAGGACGTCGACTGGCGCTGGGAGCAAGAGCACCAGGATGCTTTTGACAGCATCAAGGCCAGTCTCCAAGAGGCCTCTGTCCTGGCCCTGCCGGATGAGACGAAGCCGTTTAGCGTCGTCTGCGATGCCTCCGATTACGCCATCGGATGTGCATTGCTGCAGGCCGACACGGCTGGACACGAACGAGTCATCTCGTTCCAGTCCAGGCAGCTCAAAGCCGCCGAGCGGAACTACCCTGTCCATGACAAGGAGCTCCTGGCAATGAAATATGCCCTTGTGAGGTTCCGTGTTCACCTTTTGGGCTCTAGGCCCTTTGTGATCTACACAGACCACGCGTCCTTGAGGACGGCGACTAACTCGCCTCACCTCTCTCAAAGGATGGCGAGGTGGCTGTCCTTCTTCGCGGAATACAACTTCCGCGTCGAATACAAGCCGGGCAAGCTCAACGTGCTTGCGGACGCCCTCTCTCGGCGTCCCGACTATGTGTTGGCCCACATCACGCGGGTGACAACGGATCTACATGATCGGATACGCATGGCGTATCGGGACGATGAGGCTGTCGCGCCTATCGTCAA